TTTTTAGAAACAGATGAAAACAAAAGGGGGGAAAAAAAACCAAAAAAAAAAAAAAAAGGATGAGGAATAAAGAAAACAAGGTATGAATCATTGATGAATAAATGAAAATATCCCAGAATGGGATGTTGTTACCTTCTCACCTGAAAGGTCCCATGTGCTGGATGCAGGGATGAAGACAGATCCATCCCAGTGTACCTCAGGAATGCTCACCACTGAGGGTCAAAGTGGAGGTCTCAAAGTCAGAGTCGGAGACCACTTCCAGAGGATCTGGAACCCCAAACTAGCAGCAGCAGCATCTGGCACGAACAGGGTGACAGCCCTGCTGTGTGGCCTGAATCCTGGGACCCAGACCTCTGAGGCCGGCCCCGGGCAATGTAGGGCCAAACCCGATGTGCAGGGCACCCTGCAATTCCAGCTACTGGGAGGCGGATGCAGGAGGACAGAAAGTTCGTGACCCCATCTCAGACTGAACAGCCCTGAGTTCATCCCCAGGTGGGGGTGGGGAGGAAACGGAAATGCAGCAAGCCAACTACTGAGCACAAATCCAAGGACACAGGGACCAGGGTGGGAGGAGACACCCACTCTGTGTACCAGTCAAACTCCCGAAGTGAGCAGCTGGACCTGCAGTGGAACCACGTGCCTGGCTCTGGAGGGCATGCTGAGTGACATGAGTCACCAAACTTTCTGCATGAGCTCATGTACAGGACTCCCAAAGGAGCGCAGGCAGAATGGTGACGCCCAGGGCCAAAGGGTGAGGGCTCTGGGGAAGAGTTGGTCAAAGGATACAAAATTGCAGCTGGATAGGAGAAATGAATTCTAGAGATGTGTTGCACAACACAGTGACTATAGTTAGTAGCAGTGTATTATGTCCTTACAAATAGCTGGGAGAAACCAGGGTGGTGGCCTTGGCCTGTAATCCCAGCACTAGGGAGGCTGAGGCAGGAAGATCACCATGAGCTCCCTAGTTAGCCTGAGCTACACAGGAAGACCCTGTCTCACTCAACAAACAAAAAAAAATTGCTGGAAGAACTTGGTAAGGGTGAGGCCGGAGGACCACATGATGAAATCCAGCCCGAGCAATGAGGTGACACTTTGAAACTGAAAATATTAAAAGGCTAAGGGTGTACTTAGCATTCCTGGGGCTCAATCCCCAGTAGAGAAAAAGAAAGGGGTTGGGCTGGGGATGCAGCGCAGTGGTGCCATTCCTGCCTCACAAGCATAAGATCCTGAGTTTGATCCCTGGTAGTGGAGGAAAAAAGAAAAGAAAAAGGGTTTTTGTTGTTTGTTTTGGTTTGCTAACAGTATAGGTTTTAAGTGCGTTCACCACAAAAAAAAGTATATGAGGGCTGGGGATTTAGCTCAGTGGTTCTGCTGCCTGGCTCTCAAGCACAGGGACCCGAGTTAGATCCCTGGTACCAAAAAAAAAAAAAAGTAACATATTTGTTAATTAACTTGATTTAGCTACTCTACAATGCATACACATCAAAAATATGTTGTACATCATGAGTTAAATGTGGATGTCAAGAGCTGGGCAAAGAGGCATACACCTGTAGTCCCAGGTTCTCAGAGGCTGAGGCAGGAACATTATGTGAACCCGAGTTTAAAGCCAGCTTGAGCCACATAATAAGATCCCATCTCAAAAAGAAAGCAGGAGGAAAAGAAACAAAGGAAAATAAATGACAATGGGACAGTGCTTTCACAATACTGAAGGTGCTGGGCATGGTGGCTCATACCTGTAATCAGAGCACTGGGGAGGCTGAGGCAGGAGGATCACTGCAAGCTCAAGGCAAGCCTGGGCTACCAGCCTGAACTGCGCAGTGAGACCCTGTCTTAAACAAAACAAAACCAAACTAAAACACAAGCACATAGATTTAACACTATGGCTGAGCCTGTGCCTACCTATATTCACAGCATGCTGAAGGGTAGAGGCAGAAAGATTGCAGATTAAAGCCCAGCATGGGCAACTGGGCCATTTAGCAAGACCCTGTCTCAAAATAAAAAAGGGCAAAGAGCCAGGCATGGTGGTGAACACCTGTAGTCCCAGAACTTGGGAGGCTGAGGCAGGAGGATCTCTGTGAGTTTGAGACCAGCCTGGGCTACATAATGAGTTCCAGGTCAGTCTCAACTAGAGTCAGATCCTGTCTCAAAAGACCAAAAAAAAAAAAAAAGGGGGGTGGGTGGGCAAAGATTAACTCACTGTAAGGTGCCTGGAGTTCAATCACCAGTACCACCACCACAGAGCAAAACAATTAAAAAAAAAACTCTTGTGGAGGCCCAGATGTTGAGTTTAGCAGACAATGATTTCAAAGCAGATTTAATAAATATGTTTAATGATACAAAGAAAAACATTTTGTAAGTGTTGTAAAAAAGAATCAAATGGAGTCAGGCACTGTGACACAACCCTTAATCCTAGCTACTGGGAAGGCTGAGGCAGCCTGGGCATTTAGTGAGACTGTCTCAGATTTTTTTTTTTTTTTTTTTTTAGCCACTGCGAGTCTGTTCACTGGCTCAGTCTCATTCTGCAGAGTGAGCTTCTTTCCCACCTTCAGTAAATGTACATCACTACCTTTTGTGTGTGTCTTGTCCAAGGCACCAAGAACCTGGAAGGAATTTCTGCCTGAGACCCACATCTGGTAGCATTTCTTGGCAAGCCACCCAGAGGCCCCTGAAGCCCCACAGGAAACACCCGGTGGATCCCAGCAGCCTCAGCATGAGGCCCTTCGAAAGGGGAGACAACTGGATC